AGAAGAATTGGCAGCAATGGCTGGAGCCGGAATTGGGAAGACATCACCAGCAACCAGCACACCCGCACTAGGAGAACTCACCACGTCAGAAGTGATGGCAACAGAAACTGCAGGGATGGGATTGATGCTGTTGGGAACTTGGATGCTCGAAGGAAGCACATTGCTCGGTGTAAAGAACACCGGAGCCACCGTTGGCGGACTTACAGATAACGGCGAGGCATGACCACACGGAGTAACAAATGCTTCCGATGGGTAAAGGTGGAAGGCAGGCGTACCAATCGGATTAGGTTGCAAGAGATTGGTATCATTATGGGGAATTTTCCGTCTAGGCGATTCGCTCAAGAGTTTGAGCCCAAGAAACTGTGATTCAAGGGCAAGAAATTTCTCGTTGAGAGCCACAAATTGTTTCCAGACATCCAGAAACCCAGTTCGAGTCTGTCTCATAAATTTGCGCATTTCGGCCTCAATCTGCCAACAAGCCAGACATGACCAAGACAAGCCCATGCGTTTTGAGATCAGATCGTTTAGCCGGCCAAAATTTCCGCCACGAGCACATTTTATGTGGGCAAAATTGTCGCACAGCCAGCGGCTAAGGAATGAATCACCAATGATTACACCACCGAATTCACATTTCTGTGCACTGCAAACGATTGCCATTATTGACAGCAGTAGAATCACTGTGCACGGATAAAAAAAAGTACAGAGTGAGAGCGCAGGTCAATGGGAGAGCAGACAGCAGAGCGAGCCCGACAATCAGCAGCAGCGGCAATAATTCAATGCAGATGATCCAACGAAGTGCAGAAAACGAGCAGTAAACTCACCAAAGCAGAGACACAAAAGAATAGTCCACAAAGAGGGAGAGTATAGGCAATCCAGAGAGAGTGAGAGAAACAATGCGAGCAGCAGGCCCGCTTATGCCCACGAGAGAGTGTGGGCGATGCAAACGCTGATGCGCGAGAACAGTGCACACCGAAAAAGCGAATAACGAAGAGCAGACTGGGCAGACTGAGTCCGATGCGTTACGTTGCGAATATTGTATTTATATTAAATACTTGTTTACAAACGAAACACTGGTGATTAACACAAAGTATAATCAAACTAAAGAGTTTCGATGATATATCAAAACAAAGTGATGGCAATGTTATATGGTTTTTAAGCAAAGGGCGGAGAATGCAGGAGCAAGAAAAAAAAACAAAACCGGCTTAAGGAAGAGCTAGAAGCAAATTATGTATTAACAGAAATTTGACACCATTACCTCCTTTATAAATAGTTTTTTTTTAACCCAATCTCAAGTTTGTCTCTGAAATAATTTGTCAATTGCTAACAACTGACGCAGCGCAATTCGGTTATCGGAACAGCTCATATTGTGCTCGTAACATGCGCGTAACAGAACATCTGGGGAAAGAAAACTGTTTCCTCTGACATTTAATTCAAAGTGTAAGTGCAAAGAATTGACCATTAGCAATTAAATTTTCAACATGTATTTTCACAGTTGTTGCATCTAAGATGTGTTAATCTCTTTAAATCGTGCTTTTTCTGCCGTCGTTTTGTTTTAGAACAAGAAATTGCAAAAAAATTCATTTTTACCACGCTGTATATTTACGAAGAAACCAGGTCAGCTGCTTTCGGCTATCACAGTCAATGAGAAAATTAAACATATCGATGAAAAACGAGGGGGAACGTTGTGAGTTGCTGCGGACACCGCAACTCTACATTTATACCCGATACTTAGTCAGTATGGCTCTCCTCCGGCAGACGCCGCTGATATTGAACGACACGACACAGAGTGCGTGCGAGAGAGACAGAAAGTCAGTCTGAGCGTGACGTCGGGCGCTGCGTAGCCACTGCAAATTGATTTTTTCCTTTTGGCTATAAAAATTATGATCTGATCCAGATTCAGCAGTCTGATAGATATGGTCATTATCTATGATTCTGCGTTTTTAGTTTTCTCGTATCCTCAATATTGTGGATGCAACAGATTTTCGTTCTTTGTGGGTGCGGAAGGGGGTGGGGCGAAATTTTAAGATATACGTTTTATAGTGAGATCTAACAGGAGTGCGGATACCAAATTTGGTTACTCTAGCGTTAATAGTCTCTGAGATTTGTGGATGCCCCAGATTTTCGTCCTTTGCGGGGGCGGAAGGGGGTGGGGCGAAATTTCAATACAAAACGGCCAATGTACGATGTCACAGGAGTGTGGATACCAAATTTGGTTGCTCTGGCTCTTATAGGTTCTGAGATCCTTGAACTCATATTTTGCAATTGTCAAAACCGACCATGATACCTTTGTGTTAGAGAGAGACAGAGCGAGAAAGAATGAAATTGTTTTCTTGATTCTGGCTATAATAATTATACAATCTGGTTCAGATTTTACACTCTAGAACATATAGTATTCCTCTACGGTTCTGCGTTTTCAGTTTTCTTGTATCTTTGAATCTGTGGATGCCACAGATTTTCGCCCTTTGTGGGGGCGGAAGTGGGCGGGGCAAAGTTTTGAAATATACTTGTAGCAGTGACATATCACAGAAGTCTGGATCCAAAACATCGTTGCTCTAGCTCTTATAGTCTTTGAGCACTAATAGGGACGGACAGACAGACAGGGCTCAATCGACTCGGCTATTGATGGTGATCAAGAATATATATATAGAATATACTTTATGGGGTCGGAAACGATTCCTTCTGGACGTTACACACATCCGCTTTTACCACAAATCTAATATACCCCAATACTCATTTTGAGTATCGGGTATAATAATTGTGAAAACGGCAGCCCCTAAAAACGAAACGTTTTGGCTGAAAATGAGGAACCGCAAATAATAGTTATGAGTTTAAAAAAATTTAGGCACAAAAAAACCACCAAGAAGAGTGGGGAAAATAGACATGTATGTTTTTTTTTACTGCAAATTTTAAAACAGAATAAACTTTTATTATACATATTATATATCATTTGAAAGGTATTAATGCGTATGTCATATACATACACACTTGATCATAATAATAGGTACACCTTGAAGCTTTTCATTAATAATTAGTTTTATCGTACTTTAAGTGTTGAAAACAAAATTTTGTTTGGTATGTTTTATTTGTCAATGTATTGCAGTTCCGTGACAAAAAAAATGAAACAGGGAAACCGCCGAATAACAGAGCTTTAAGCGAAATTGCGAGTTGACATCACATTATGGCTGATCAAAATAATAGGTACAGTGTCAGTAAATTTTGAATATCAAGTGAATAATTTGGAAATTCTTGACTTTTTGGCAATTAAACATCCATTTCATTTAACAACAGTCTAAATATAAACAAATAATTATTTTTTTCTTACAAGAATAGGCCGAAAGTATTATTGTACAGCCCAATTGGCTCTTAGTCTGAAAAAAGAAGGCCAATCTCTTCGGGCCATTGCCAAATTAATGAAAAGATCTCATAATTTTGTTACAATGCTTTAAAATCAAACCTAGTCAGGAAACTCGCGGAAAGCCACAGACAACAACCATAACACTTGACCACTACATACTTTTCTTTGAGGAATAAGGACCCATTTAAGTCGTCAAAGGCTATTGCATCAGAAAGTGCACTAGAAGTTAGTGCTCCAACGATCCGTAGACGGCTACAACAAGCCAGCGTTCCAAGGAGAATAGAAAGAAAGGTCCCACTTACGCGTCAAAAGAATCTAGCCATGGGGCAAACTTTTGCTAAAGATCATAAAGACTGCGCAGGATGCGCCGGAGAGAAAAAGTGGAGAAGCCTTTTTTGGAGCGACGAAACTAAAATAAATTTATTAGGGAATGAATGTGAAAACAATGTAGGAAGCCCTAAACGAAAGAGTTTTGATCCATGTTTCAAAAAAAAAAATGTCTCAAACATGGAGGTGCCAGTTAAAGATATGGGGCTGCTCATCCTGGTACGGCGTAGGTCCATTTTTCCTGACAACGAACAGAATGGACGCTGAGCAATACAAACCCAGATTGCACACAGTTATGCTGAAGAAAACATGAGTTTCCATTGGGTATTTAAGTAATATAACGACCCAAGGCACACATCTAAGCTTTTGACCAACTTTTTTGAGGACCAAACAATAGACGTTTTAAAGTGGCTTCCTAAATTTTCCGACTTAAATCCAATCGAAAACTTGTGGGGAGATTTACGAAACAAAATTAGCTAAGTTTTCATTTTCAAATAATTAAAAATTATGCGAGGGCGTCCAAAAATTGTGGTATGAGACACCTGCCAGACGCTTATTACAAGTACGCCAAAAATAATTATAAAGGTGACAAAAAATAAAGGTGGACACATCGGATATTGACTATAGATCCCATTTAGGCAACAAAAAAATAATAATAATCAGTTAACAAACTTTTTTCATAACAAAACTTGAAGTGTACCTATTATTTTGAGCAGCCTGACATTGACTCTGAAGTACAAATTGCTCTCTTTTCTTTTATAACATTATCCTATAATATAATAAAGTTTATTTTATTGAAAACAAATACTGTTGGTATAATTGAGAACTAATTTTAAGTTTCAAATATTGAATACAACTGCTTTTTGTTATGTTAAAGTTTACGTAGATGTGTGTACCTATTATTATGATCAAGTGTGTATATAGGACTATATGTAATCTGGCTCTTTTGTTTCAAAAGATATTTGAATTCAATTTTTATTTTAAATTTTTATAACTTTTATTTTAAATTTTTATAATAAAAATTGAAAATAATTTTTGTGTTAAATTTTATATAAAAATTATTTTTTAATTATTATTAATTAAATTTTAATTTTTATCATTTAAATTAATTTTAATAATTAAAAAAATTTAAAACAAAATTTAATTTTTTTTTATAAAAATTAGAATCGTTACGATCTCTGCTGAAAATGAAAAATTAAGTGAAAACCGGAGCCTGTCTATGAGTATAATTTGTTTATTATAACTACACGCTATTGTTTGGAAAAATGTATATTCTTTTTAAGGGTGTAGCAATAAAAGTTTTCAATTTATCTCTTACCGTTTCTTTGACTCCTTATAAAAGGATTGTAAATCTCCAATTGGTGGGCTTTTGTTGAGAAAGTCGGGAAAGCGATCTTCTAAATGTGCAATTAACATACCGAATTGTGTTCCCCAATCACCAAGATGATTTATACGAATTACGTCGTGTTGCAAAAATTCCAGTAAGCGGCAAACTGATTCGCCAATAATTGTAGAGCGTAAGTGGCCAACATGCATCTGCTTGGCTATATTAGGTGAAGAAAAATCCACCAAAACTCGCCTTTTAAGAACCCTTGGAGGTTTGATACCATTACGTAATATGTTCTTTAAAGATTGAGCTGCATAATCTCTTTTGGAAGAAAAATAAAAAAAGTAATGAAATATCACATGCATGATACGTATGTACATATATCACGTACTTGCTAAGATACACGTTCACAAACCCAGCACCGCCAACTTCCAGCTTATTTATGATCGGCGATAGTGGACAACATTTTTGTAACTCGTTAGCGATGTCACGTGGTGTTCTGTTAACACCCATTTCTTTCATTTTTTTGGCCAAACCCATCGCATTGTTACACTGATAGTCACCATACTTTGCAGAGGCACTATTCACTGGTGCAATTATGACTGGTATGTTTCCATATTCCGGAAACGCCAATGAAATAGCTCTTGCAAAAACGTTTTCCAAATGCTCCGTGATCGAAAAACTTTCGGTAACCTCCATTGCTGACTTGGCTTCATAAGCTATGGACTTTAAAAACAACAGTTATTTTGATGCCTAAATAGTAATTATTAATTTAAGTTACTTACCTGCCTAATTATGGATAAACGATGTTTGAGCTTGGTATTTTTAAGTTGGAGTTTGATCAGATCATCGTCAGTTTCAGCATAGTGATCTTTTCCTGTTACAGACTTTACTTGGGTGGAAAGCTCTTCTGTCGTGCGCTCCTTAAAATGCATTTCATTGAATGCCGTAAAATAAAGACATTATTGCTTATTTACCAAATCACTTAGTTTTGATAGTTCCGAAATGAGTTCTGACATTTCTAAATAATTATATTTTCATGTAAGCCCCAACCCTGCTGCCACATGCACGCCAACAATGTGCCCACAGCTACTTTAACCAATACTTATATATCGATATATGTATATAACTATATCGATCGATTTTAGGAACGAATAGGCACTGCACACTGAGCACATCACGGAGAAACAGTGGAATTTTTTCATAAGTGAACCCTGATTCAGGGCATGATATAAAAAAGTTTTGGTCTGAATTGAAAAATTTCAACAATTTATTTTTTGTGATTTGGCTGTATTATTTGACTGGACTCAAGCATTTCATCTTATTTTCTATGATTTCAAGAGTTTTTTTTGTTTTTTATCTCTTCTAATTTTTATCTTGAACGATTCGAAAATTCAAACAAACTATTTCATATTGCCATTTGTTTCGTCATTGATCATAGTAGAGCATTTATAATTGTATGGCTTATCGCTTTTGATATTTTTAATCATATAATAAAAGTTCGCACTCTGCAAATTCGCTCTGCCTTACTACCGTAGGTCAGCTAGACTAATCATTTTGAAATACATATGTAACAGTGAGATCTAACAGGAGTGTGGATACCAAATCTTGTTACTCTAGCCTTAATAGTCTCTAAGATTTGTGGATGCCAAACATTTTCGTCCTTTGCTATAATAATTATACGATCTGGTTCAGATTCTGCAGTCTAGAAGATATAGTAGTTTTCTACGATTCTGCGTGTTTTGTTTTCTCGTATCTTTAAAATTATGGATGCCACAGAATTTCGTTCTTTCGGGGGGCGGAAAGGGCGGGCGAAGTTTTGAAACACATTTGTAGCAGTGACATATCACAGCAGTCTGGAAACAAAATGTCGTTGCTCTAGCTGTTTTAGTCTTTGAGCACTAGGCGATAATAGGTACGGACAGACGGACGGACAGACAGACGAACAGACGGACGGACGGACGTACAGACAGGTCTCAATCGATTCGGCTAGGGGTCGGAAACGATTTCTTCTGGACGTTACACACATCCACTTTCACCACAAATTCACATCAGCTGTTATTGACGGATGCTGGATGGTGCCAGTGTGAATTGGATTTTTTGACAGATGTGAAACTCCGATTCACACTGTCACCATCCGTCAAAAATAGGTGGTGCCAAAAACAAGTACATTACATTTGCGCGGCTGTTAAATTTATTTTCTTATAATGGATGATGAAGATATAGTAATTATTTCGGCTGTGGTTAAACAGCAAAATATTTTCTTGCACCGTCTAATAATCTTGCTGTTAATGAATAATGATTATGACATTAACTTTGACGAGGATAAGATGCTTTACTGGGTATCTGCCATAAAAACACAAAGGCCACGAAGGTTATGGTCTTTTGTGAGTACTTTTACTAACTTCAGTCAAGGTTTTAGGTACAATGACATATTGTATGTTTTTAGAATCGGTTCGGGACATTTTGGGAGATGTAGCTGAAAACAACGATGCGTTTGTCAAAGAGAGTTTCCGAATGGAGAGGAATGCTGTGGAAGATGGACACGAACTGACGAGCTGCAATTCCTTTGGAAAAGCGCATTGCCATTGCGTTATATACTTTGGGCTCGTCCTCTGAGTACTGAACAGTTGGCAGGCTTTTCGGTGTGGCTCCAAACAGTGGGCTCCTGCACGAGTTTGGCAGAGCACTTATCGACGAGTTTTCTAAGGGGTACACGTCACCCATCTTCCGACAAAATTGATGAGTGCGTAAAGGGTTTCCTCAGTGCCTAGGTGCAATTGGTAAGAAATCAATAGGAACTTCTTAATATTTGTATATATAAATTGATTTTTAAACTTACTTTTTATTCTAGATTGATGCCACATCGAAATAAAACCACCACCAGCTGAGGCAGTAGACCACCTTAGCTAAAAGGACTGGTTTTCCACAAACTGGTTTGCCCTAGTGGATTATAGGTATGAAAATATCTTGTACGAAATTATGTTTTTATCTAGTGGTTTAATGTCTTAAATTATTTAAATTCTTCTTAGATACATATTTACATATGTAAATATCGGCTCTGCAGCAAGTTGAAATGACTCGATGATATACCAGGAGTCAACTCTTGCAAAATGGATCGAAGCATTGGAAATACGCCAAAAGAAAGCTAATAAAGTATGCGGAGTAATAGGCTCTGCACACTGAGCCCAAATTGAGGGAATGGTGGCATTTTTTGACAGATGTGAAACTCTGATTCACACTGGCACCATCCACCATCCGTCAAAAACAGCTGATGCCAATTACGATGTACTTGTTATTGGCATTGACATTTGCGCGGAAGATATATACATTTTTTTTCTTATAATGGATGATGAAGATGTGTCTATTATTTCGGCCGTGTTTCAACAGCAAAATATGCGAACAGCCCGATAGCAGCAACAGTTCTGGTGATTTTAATCATTCAGCAGAGCAGATACGTTCTGCAATCGCAAAATATTGTTTAGACCATAATGCAAATTATAAACTTATTTATTTTTATTTCTCTGCACTTCCAATAAATCTTTCCTGTGAAGGTCCTTCTGCTCTTCGAATCGCTCTCTGCCGATCTCTGCCATCCAAGAAGTGTTGAATTTTTTGGTTCGCTTTGGCGGGGGCCTTTGTTGCCAGAAAAGGTGATCCGTCCAGATCCAATTCGATAATGTTTGAAAAAAACTCATTATTAAAGAATACATTATGCATAACATAAAGCATTTATAGAGCATAGAAATATTTGTTCTATGTTGTCAGTCGTCTGCCATTTATTCGCCACACACTTGCAACTTCAGCCTGGCAGACTCGGCCATGCCGCATTCAATCTCATCGCCAGCCTTGAATGTATTCGAGCCATTGGGCCTGATTGTTGTTGTTTTTTGTTTATTTTTTCGCAATCATTGTTCGCGTTTTCGTAGTGAATTTCTTCTTTTCGTTGTGAATGACAATTATTCAGAGTTGCATTTGAAAACCATCGGCTAACTATCGCATAGAAACGTGCGGCTTAGGAACATCCAAAATGGATGGTGGCCTAACTGGGAAATTTTCGGAACTGCAAAACCTTACGAACCATCCCCGAAATGGATGGTGGATGGTCGTCAGTGTGAATAGCCTATTAGGAACGTGCACAATAGATGATGGAATAGCTGGGAGATTCCCTGAAAACGTTGGTGGATGGTCGTCAGTGTGAAATGCCTATAAGAGATAAGATTGTGAGAAAATAAAAAATCATTCGTTGAAAATTAATACGATTGAGCACACACATATGTATTACTTTCGTCCCGCAAAATAAATAGTTAATAACAGATTCTGCTGTTAGAAAAAACCGTCTTATATTTCACTGCGCTCCCGGGTGGACTATTAATTTGTATGGACTATATCATAGAATAACCTATTGTTGCACGCGTCGTGGTAGAAGGAAGCTTTTCCGACACAATACAATATATATATTTTTGATCAGCATTTTGTCCGTCCCTATGAGCGCCTATTGCTTGGAGACTATAACAGCTAGAGCAACGACATTTTGTATCCAGATTTCTGTGATATGTCAAAGTTACATGTGTGTTTCAAAACTTCGCCATGCCTACTTCCGTCTCCACAAAGGGCAAAAATCTGTGGCATCCACAGATCTCAGAGCCTATTTTGGCCAGAGCAACAAAATTTGGTATCCACACTAATGTTAGATCTCACTATAAAACATGTATTTAAAAATTTCGCCCCACTCCCTTCCGCCCCAACAAAGATCGAAAATCTGTGGCATCCACAATATTGAAAATACGAGAACACTAAACAGGCACAATAATAAAGATTGACCATATCCACCAGATTTCCGAATCTAGATCAGATCGCATCATTATTGTAGGTAACAAATCAATTTGCTCTGGCTACGTAGCGCCCGATGACACGTTCTGTCTCTCGCACGCACACATTGTCGCTCAATGTAGCCATACTGACTATGTATCGGGTATAAATGTAGAGTTGCGGTCGCAGCAGCAACTAACAACGTTCCCCCTTGTCTTTTTTTTCTGATACTGTCGAGCTTAATCCAATCTATTGGGAGAATGCAGCGCCAGAAGAGGAAAGTGCAATTCCTGGACTACCGATTATATACAGAGGCATTTTTGAAAAAATGTAAAGCTCGATTGAAGATGTAAAGATTAAAAAACTCGTAATGAATAAACACGGGCTACAGTGCAGCTGCTGGGAACGGCTAAAGCCCAGCCACAGAGTTCGAAAGGGTCAATATATTCCAGATCAACGGGAATTGATATCTGATTTAGCGGATAAACAGTTGGCGGTCGTGCAGAGGAGGAATCCGACACCACATATGCGCGGGAGTTACCGATAACGGTTCCGCAGCATCGCCACCTAAACCCCCTCGGACACTTGCAATATCCCTCTAAATGACTATGTTGTTCAATCCGGACAATGAAATGTCCATCGCAACACTTTGACTGTTTCAACACTTTACCTACCGCAGCATAAACAACCGACTACACATTCAATATAAACAGCATCGAAATTTGAACTCGACATCCGGCGTAATGCCGACTCGGCGGTTTCACAATACACTAGCCCTCTGCAACAACTTGTATATAGTAAAATATGCGACAATCGAGTTTAAGTTTTACAATTAGATTTATTTATTCACTTAAACTTAGCGTACAATGGTTAGATAGTGTATTAAACGGAATTAACTTGGGTGAATTCTCCGACGGTGTCGCGATTGACGTTTGTCTTGAACAGAACTGACTGCTTACTTAGATGTAGACTATTTGTATTACGATGCTCGGACTGGGATTCGGAGGCGTTGGCTTCGGCTTTGGTGATGGAGTACGTGACTGGATCGATATGTGGGAAAGGCTTCCGCTGCGTATGATCGGTGTTGCATTACTTGGGGGTGGCTGAAATATGGCCTCCTTGGTTTTGTGCCCAATTCTGATTGGTGAGCTATGATGGCGTGGTTCTTGAGAATCGATTAGTAATTGATCTCTGGAGGGTGGCGTGATTCTAGTGCGGATGGATACGCGGCATCTATTGTTTTATGATCG